TGTGTGTGTGTGTCTGTGTGTGTGTGTGTGTGTGTGTGTGTGTGTGTGTGTGTGTGTGTGTGTGTGTGTGTGTTTTCTGCACATTAATGAAGCATGTAATGAGTTTGTTGAGTCAACACCGAGTGTTTGCACAGCAGCCTCCGAGTCATGACGGTAAAATTAAAATGTAATTTATATTTCAGAGTGAAACACTGAAGTAGAAGTATTACTTATTCAGAAAAGTCTTTTGAGTGCTTTAAGTACACGTGTTTTTTAAATTGTGCAGTAACACGTAGTTAAAGTACTTCTAAAGCAGAGGTAGAGAAGTACTCAGATCTTGTACTTGAGTAAAAGTAGAAGTACTCAGATCTTGTACTTGAGTAAAAGTAGAAGTACTCAGATCTTGTACTTGAGTAAAAGTAGAAGTACCAGAGTTTAGGAATACTCAAGTAAAAGTACTTAGTTACTTTACATCACTGAGTAAAAACACTTTCTACGCAGTAACATTTATATAAAGTATTTCAAGTATAAGTCAAATGTAGTTAATATACGTGTAGTAACATGTTTTATTGGGCATTCTTTATGTGGAATTTAAAAAAGGAAAATGTGCTTAAAGTAAAAGTATACGTTGCTAAACCTAAAATGAATAAAAACAGATTTAAAGTATTAAGAATAAAAACATCACGTGATTGATCTTTAGCATGAACAATTATAATTATGAAGAAAGTTGTTAATTGATTTTCATATTGACTAAAGCTGTAATATTTCAAACAAACATCATATTTTAAAAGCTGTAAAGCTGTCAGATAATAGAAGTGGAATAAAAAGCTAAATATCTTTGTCTTAGATTTATTGGAGTAGAAGTATGACGTGACAGAAAATAGAAATTCTCGAGCCCTAAAGTTCCTTTAAAATCTAATTGTTTTCAGGGTGTTGAAATGTCACGTGACTGCGTCGTGACGTCAATCACACGTTTGGTCACCTGTAGTGTTACGTTGTGTCTATGCACCAGGATGGCCGAGTGGTTAAGGCGTTGGACTTAAGATCCAATGGACATCAGTCCTCGTGGGTTCGAACCCCACTCCTGGTAGCCGGACGTTTTAAATAAAGTTCAAAATCACTAAAAAGAAAACATGATTCTGTTGAAAAACGGAGATTACTCCTCAGACCTGTTTCGCTGCAAAGAAGCGACGGTACTGCAGTCAGGTTTGTGTTCACAGAGCCGTTTCAAATCCCCATCTGATCAGAGCAACACATGTAAAACACGGTAAGAAAGGAAATACATTATTGTCTGTTTTTTGCAGAAACGTGAAGAACTGTGTCTGGTTTCAAGTTAAAAATCTGCTGTTAAAAGGGAACACTTAAACACCTCCAGACACATTAAACACACATTAAACCATCAGGTTGTGTCGGGTTATAATAATATGTTTTAATTTGACTTTTAATAATTGTTTAGGGTGTTACTCCCCAGTTCGGTCTAAGATAAAGATATTCAGCGTCACACTTGCGCACACACACACACACACACACACACACACACACACACACACACACACACACAAACACAGACACACACACACACACTTTCTCACACACACACACACACACACACACACACACACACACACACACACCTGCAGACAACCATCCTCAGAAAGCCAGAAGGAAACATGTGACTGAAGCTACAGCTCCCTGCAGCAGGTAGGAGCTCCCCGTAGCATTAGCAACGTGTGGGTAATATGCAGCATCTCCATATAGCGAAGTTAAGTCAATATTTGAGATCATGATCTGTCCAGAGTGTAACCCTAACTCGAGCCAAATGCCAAATGAAAAGCCTCTCTTGTGTGAGGATGGACTCAGAAACCAGTTTGTTGTGATGTTATATAATATGGTGCCACCTGGCGGCGAACAGGTGAAACGGCATGGTTTATAAACTCCTAAAACTGTACTTATGTCCTTGAAATCTCAAACTTCTATTTACATCCAGAACGACATATTAGTGTTTCCCCTATATACAAATAGTGGCGGCGCAGCGCCGCTGCTGAAATATGCGCGTCGTTGCTAGGGGGCGCCAGCCAGGTACCCAAAAAAAAATAAAAATAATTATATATTTAAGAATTTTTAGCCGGGCCGGCTCAGATGATTGGTCGTGCTTTTTACAGTACTACGGCTTCCACAGATGAAATGTTTTGTATGTATTTATAGTCAAAGCATTTAATGTATTCGTTGCTATCGGGATGTTAAGAGCATTCCATGGAATATAACAAGTGTATCTGAAGTGAATTACCTACCCCACCTTTAGTCTGTTAAGGAATGGGCTCATGGCTGCATTTCCCCCTTTAGATATACCATTTCAGGATCGGGTCTAATCGCCAGAGACTTAACATTTATCATATGACATGTTAATAAATCATTTATCATGACATGTTAATAAATGTTCTTTAAACAAATTAAGTCTCTCCTGATTGAACTCTTGTGATCAAACTATATTTTAGAAAATAGATGATTAATTATTATCAAAATGTAACGACAACCAGAATCTCCATCAGTCAGGAAAATACAATCCTTGTTTCTTAAAATAATAATATATAAATACGTAACCTGCGTTCAGGACTTTAAGACTTTGTTGAGAAAGTCCTGAAATAAAAAGGAACAAAAAAAATCAATCAAGGTTTAAAAACTGAGTCTTTATTAAATTACAAATATCTACTTTATACAAAGTCTGCATTATTAAAACCAGAGGTGCTGCTGGTCCTCTGAGGTGCTGCTGGTCCTCAGAGGATCCAACAGGGCCTCAGAGGTGGTGCTGGTCCTCCTCAGAGGATCCAACAGGGCCTCAGAGGTGCTGCTGGTCCTCTGAGGATCCAACAGGGCCTCAGAGGTGCTGCTGGTCCTCTGAGGATCCAACAGGGCTTCAGAGTAAAACGTGATTTAAAAAATATTTAGAGCTAATATGAAAATGTGCTTCACGGTGCCTGAGAGAGAGAGAACGTGTAAAACTGAAACCAAACACATGCAGAAACTGGAGGGACAGAAACGTCCCGCTACGTCACAAATATAAAGTCTTACAGTACACGCCTTCATGTGCAAACACGTAATTCAGATCCAAAAACACAGAGAAAGTACCGGTACAAAAAACAAACAAACATCAAACTTCAAAAGAAATATAAAAACAAATATCACACTTTTTTTCTTCTTTACAGTCAGTTTCTGTAAAACATTAGATTCTCTCACACAGGAAGTCACGTTCAGGTGTTTATGATATCTATATTCTATATTTAACATATTGACCCCCTGCTGTTATTCTAATACTGCTCTCACACCTGTATCTGCTGCGACCCTGAGACAGCAGCAACAACAAGCTAAATAAAGAGTGTGTGATCTACTGAGAGTGTGTGAGTGTGTGAGTGTCCCTGTCCTGCAGGGCTAATGAGGTCCGGCACTCACTGACATTCATGGCTGTAGAGAACGACCCGAGGCTAGTGTTAGCTTAGCATGATCACAGAGTTTAGAGAACATTATTTTTTTTTAAATGCTGCTTTAATTATTAACTTTATTCCAGGTGTTGGCAAGTATGAGAAGACCCAGAATAATCACTGTAAGCAGATGTTTGAATTATTATTATTATTTTTAGATTTGCGGTTGATAAGGAAGAGGATTAGAGCCACACAAATAATCTGATCAAAAGTGATCATTGATTTTTGAGAAAAAAATTATTCTGACTTTTTTTCTGAAAACGTAAAAAATAAAATCACGTTTGGTCAGATTTTTATAATTGTTTTTTCACGTGGCCTTAATCCCCTTCAGGCCCACAGGCAGCCACAGTGTGATTAAGGCCTCTATTTAAGCTTAATTGATGAGGACTGTTGCTGACAGGTGTGCAGGTTTACTAAACGAAAGGTTTTGTACAAATTCTCAGAACATATTTAAAATGTGCATCCCAGAGTCCCAGAGTCCGAGGGGATGTCAGATCTCCAGATTAGGGATCAGTATAATTATTCTAACTTGTAGAAATGAAGCTTCCAGAGAAATGTGACTGACAGGAGATCAGGAGATAAGGCGGTTCCTCTGAGAGCTCTCTGAGTCTTTGATATAAAAATAAAAAAGGTTGTTACTAACACAACGAGTTCAGTAGCTCCCTCAGAGAGGAGGCGGTGAATCTGAGGGTCTGTAGTCACTGGAGGAAACAACGGCTTCAGTGACTGTGCGTCAGAGTCTGTAAACAAGGGAGAACCGTGGTGGTCTTCACGCCACAGGTTTGAGGACTGATCTGAGGCACCGGCCCTCCTTGGTGAGCTCTCTGGTGAAGCACATGCAGGGCAGCGGCACGGCCTCTTCCCGTCTGGTGACCTGGTTGAACTTGCACTTCTTCAGGTGGTCGGCCATGCTGGCGATGTTGGCGAATTTCCACTCGTTCACCGTGCCGAACGCCGTGCTGAAGCGCCACACCTGGACACCAACGAAGAAGAGAGGGGGTTAATATCAGGGCGGGGGTAACATAGTTACTCAAAGGAAACAAATCTGTGCTTATAAAAATAAGTATTGGATCCAACTTTCCTTTATAAACCACTTTGCAAAAACAGACATTTAGGGGGAAAATCTTTTTAGAAATGTGCGGTTAGGGGTTAGAGATCATTTTGCCTCAATTTGGTCAGATTAAGCTGCAGATTAGTTTCAGGATTAGTTGTGTGTTTTAAAAATTGTAAAACAAAATCTTAAAGCAGTGAGTATTTGAGTAGCTGGGAACAGAATTCCACCTCAGAAAGAAAGGTAAGAACGACAAAAAGAAATCTTACATTTTTAAGTGTTAGAGATCATTTTGCCTCAATTTGGTCAAATTTCTCTCAGTTTTTTCTAAAATTGATTTCAACATTAGCCGCTTTCACACCAAGTACTTTGCCGTACTTAGTGACCCGGCACTTAGTACCCCAGGGCACTTAGTACAGATCGAGTTCCCAGGGCACTTAGTACCCCAGGGCACCCCAGTACCCCAGGGCACTAAGTACAGATCGAGTTCACACCGGAATAAATTCCCTGAGGGAGGATTATGCAAATGAAGCCGCTGACGTCACTTCTTCTTCTTCTGCTGCTTTGGGTTTACTGGCAGGCCGCAAACAACTTCACGGCGTATACTGCCACCCGGAGTCCCCGGCCGGAAGTCCCCGGAGTTGGGGAAGGCTTCAGTAGAAGCTGCTGGGACTCCCAGCAGCTTCTAGTGAAGCCTTCCGAGTAAATCGCCAGAACGCAGACACCTCCTCATCTCCACCGCTCCCATGTTTT